TGTGGTCTGCTGCGTAACCTGGTAGCTCCAAACAAGCCTGCAGTATGACAATATTGTGGGAGTTTTGCAAAGGTTCTGGTTCCACAAGAGGAATCAGGGGGAACAGGAAACAGTCGCACAGTATGTGGTGGTGTTGAAAAGACTGTCAGAACATTGTGAGTTTGGTGTGTATCTGGAAGATGCTCTACGGGACAGATTTGTTTGTGGATTAAAGTGTGAAACTGTGGAGAAGCATCTTTTGACAGAAAAGGATCTCACGTTCTGCAAAGCAGTTGACTATGCCATGTTGGCAGAGACAGCAACACGTGAATTCAGCAGTTAAGTGGCTCTCTTAAAGTGAACACGGTGCTGTCGCAAAAAGGTGATGGATGCCATCGCTGTGGGAAAATGAATCATACTGATGATGACTGCTGGTACAAGGACCGTGACTGTCACCAGTTGGGGAGGAAAGGCCACACGAAACGCATGCGTAAAGGTAGAGCCAGAAGCAGCCAAGATTGGAACAGGAAAGAGAGAGACGGAAAACCTGAACTGAAAGGTAATGCAGTTAAACACAGAGTTAAGGACAAAAAGAGAAGAATTCATCATGTTGCTGGTGAGGAAAGTGAAAGTGAAGGAATCAGATCTGACACCGATAGTGAGTTGGAACTGTATTCATTGTCTCGAAAAGAGAGGGATTCACTTATCTCCCTGATGCCTGTAGTTAACGGGAAGAAAATGAAGATGGAGCTGGATACAGGGGGTGGTGTGTCTTTGCTCCCATGAGAACAGTACAAAAGTATGCTGAGTCAGTTGCTGCTGCAACCCACTGACATCATGCTGAAGACATACACTGGGGAACCGCTGGCACCAGAGTGGTTGGGAATTATTAAACTGAACTTGAAAGACGTTCATGCCAGAGAGCAAAGTGGAAATGACAATCTGGGGGCTGTGCTAACGAAACACTCAGCTGTTTTCTCTAAGGAGTTTGGGTCAATGAAAAGAATTAAAGCCAGATTGATTCTTAGGCCTGATAATGTAGCCAAATTCTGTCCACCATGTAACATGCCTTATGCTCTCTGACCTCGAGTGTAGGCTGAACTGAAACGCCTGACTGAACTTGGGGTCTTCACACCAGTGGGGCATAGTGCCTGTCAACAAGAAGGATGGCTCAGTGAGACTGTGTGGGGCTTTCAAGGTCACTCTCAATTCACAGCTCTGTGTGGATAAGTACCTACTTCCACGCATTGAGGACCTGTTTGCTTCTCTGGCAGGGGGTCAGCATTTCAGTAAGCTGGGCTTAGCAAATGCCTATCTACAGATGGAGGTAGAAGAGGAGTCTAAGAAGCTGCAGACTATTTTGACTCAAAAAGGGCTGTTCCGTTTCAATCATTTACATTTTGGTGGCATCACCAGTGTTGTTTCATATTGGAAAAGATTGGGCCAGTGTCATACAAAGTGAATATGGGAGCACAAGGAGTGTGGAAACGTCATGTGGATCAGATGCTGACATGTCCTGAGCCAGTATCTCAGCAGGTTGCACTGGATCCTCTGACAGGCACTCTTCATCCTCCTGCCCTCTGCGAGGTGCAACAGGAGTCACCGGACTAAGACCACCAGGTACCAGTACAGCTTCTTCCCTACAGCTGTCAGACTCCTGAACTCTGCCTCCTGACATCTGACCCACATTAAACTCATGGACTGAACAATACACACACCCACAACCACCCATTACTGAACACCCAATGGACAAAAACAAACAAATGGCCAACTGTACCATCATACACACAATAATAACATGGACTGAACCACCACTCACAAACACTAGCACTTTATATAACCTCTGTGGAAATTAGCCACATATCTCACTGATCTAAACTGCACTACTGTAAATTCTGTACAGACAATCATTTTGTACAATAATAATTATAGTTCTACAACTGTTTATAACTTGTATAGTTCATATTTCTGTATAGTTTCATATTTTTGTATAGTTTTCACATTTATACCCTGTTCATAGCCTGTACATAGCTTGTACACTCACTACAGCCTGTACATACTTGTAGTTACAGCATATTCATAACTTACCTTCATACCGTGTACATTGTAACATACCATAATAGACCCATATTTTGTACCCTCATACCTATAATAGATCCATTTTTTATTGCTAATATATATTTTGTAATATATCTATATTATTGCTAAAGCACTTTCTCAATAGATGCAAACTGCATTTTGTTGCCTTGTACTTGTGACATGTGCAATGACAATAAATTTTCTATTCTATTCTATTCTAAATGTCACCAGCCCAGAGTGATAGTGACACCTTGCTCCACCCTGGTACATCTCACCAGGAAAAGACTGTTGAACAAGTTCTGCGGACCACAATACCTCCAGAAACACACCAGTCTATTGAAACACTGAGTGTATACAGGTTACAGAAATTGTTAGACATTATCCAGTGAGGGTCACTAAGCCACCCACTTGTTACCGTGTTGTAAAATAAAAAAGAAAGAAAGAAAAGAAAAGAAGAAAAAAGAAAAGAAAAGAAAAGAAAAGAAAAAAAAAAGTACCATTTAGGTTAAGTGAAATATTTCTGTGGGCAGTGCTGCGGTCGCTTACCTTAGTGGGGAGAAGATGTTATGTATGAAATATACAGTGTGCTATACAAGCTATCGCCCCTGTTATGTGTGTGTAACTTTCTGAAGTCTAAGGAGCTTGGAAAGAAAAACACCGAACTTCTTTAAGTTGCTTGAAGATGTTTCACCTGTTTTAGCTATTTGGCAGTTGTTAAACCAGTTTTGTGAGCTTTAACCTGAGATTCTGGCGTTTCTGGCAAAATACATTAATATTTAAAAGTCGATTCGGGGTTTAATAAATCGATATTTATTAAATATATATAATATATATATATATATATTATATTATATATATTATAATAACTCTTGTCCAGAAGAACGCAGTCCGGAACAAGCTAAGATAATGGCAGGACTCAAGCTCCAAGAGGACCGAGTATGAAGGTAAACCGCCCGCAGGGCGTGTGGGTTTTTATATTATATATATATATATATATATATATTATAATATATATATATATATATATATATATATATATTATAATATTATATATATATATATATATATATATATATTATATATATATATATATATATAATATATATTTATTATTATTTTTACATGTTTTTATTGTATGATGTGAAAAGTAAGGGTAATTTTAAAAAATTGATTTTCACCCTTCAAATTGATTTTAGTTTGAATAATGCGATATCGATTTATTAAACCCCGAATCGACTTTTAAATATTAATGTATTTTGCCAGAAACGCCAGAATCTCAGGTTAAAGCTCACAAAACTGGTTTAACAACTGCCAAATAGCTAAAACAGGTGAAACATCTTCAAGCAACTTAAAGAAGTTCGGTGTTTTTCTTTCCAAGCTCCTTAGACTTCAGAAAGTTACACACACATAACAGGGGCGATAGCTTGTATAGCACACTGTATATTTCATACATAACATCTTCTCCCCACTAAGGTAAGCGACCGCAGCACTGCCCACAGAAATATTTCACTTAACCTAAATGGTACTTTTTTTTTTCTTTTCTTTTCTTTTTTCTTCTTTTCTTTTCTTTCTTTCTTTTTTATTTTACAACACGGTAACAAGTGGGTGGCTTAGTGACCCTCACTGGATAATGTCTAACAATTTCTGTAACCTGTATACACTCAGTGTTTCAATAGACTGGTGTGTTTCTGGAGGTATTGTGGTCCGCAGAACTTGTTCAACAGTCTTTTCCTGGTGAGATGTACCAGGGTGGAGCAAGGTGTCACTATCACTCTGGGCTGGTGACATTTAGAATAGAATAGAATAGAAAATTTATTGTCATTGCACATGTCACAAGTACAAGGCAACAAAATGCAGTTTGCATCTATTGAGAAAGTGCTTTAGCAATAATATAGATATATTACAAAATATATATTAGCAATAAAAAATGGATCTATTATAGGTATGAGGGTACAAAATATGGGTCTATTATGGTATGTTACAATGTACACGGTATGAAGGTAAGTTATGAATATGCTGTAACTACAAGTATGTACAGGCTGTAGTGAGTGTACAAGCTATGTACAGGCTATGAACAGGGTATAAATGTGAAAACTATACAAAAATATGAAACTATACAGAAATATGAACTATACAAGTTATAAACAGTTGTAGAACTATAATTATTATTGTACAAAATGATTGTCTGTACAGAATTTACAGTAGTGCAGTTTAGATCAGTGAGATATGTGGCTAATTTCCACAGAGGTTATATAAAGTGCTAGTGTTTGTGAGTGGTGGTTCAGTCCATGTTATTATTGTGTGTATGATGGTACAGTTGGCCATTTGTTTGTTTTTGTCCATTGGGTGTTCAGTAATGGGTGGTTGTGGGTGTGTGTATTGTTCAGTCCATGAGTTTAATGTGGGTCAGATGTCAGGAGGCAGAGTTCAGGAGTCTGACAGCTGTAGGGAAGAAGCTGTACTGGTACCTGGTGGTCTTAGTCCGGTGACTCCTGTTGCACCTCGCAGAGGGCAGGAGGATGAAGAGTGCCTGTCAGAGGATCCAGTGCAACCTGCTGAGATACTGGCTCAGGACATGTCAGCATCTGATCCACATGACGTTTCCACACTCCTTGTGCTCCCATATTCACTTTGTATGACACTGGCCCAATCTTTTCCAATATGAAACAACACTGGTGATGCCACCAAAATGTAAATGATTGAAACGGAACAGCCCTTTTTGAGTCAAAATAGTCTGCAGCTTCTTAGACTCCTCTTCTACCTCCATCTGTAGATAGGCATTTGCTAAGCCCAGCTTACTGAAATGCTGACCCCCTGCCAGAGAAGCAAACAGGTCCTCAATGCGTGGAAGTAGGTACTTATCCACACAGAGCTGTGAATTGAGAGTGACCTTGAAAGCCCCACACAGTCTCACTGAGCCATCCTTCTTGTTGACAGGCACTATGCCCCACTGGTGTGAAGACCCCAAGTTCAGTCAGGCGTTTCAGTTCAGCCTACACTCGAGGTCAGAGAGCATAAGGCATGTTACATGGTGGACAGAATTTGGCTACATTATCAGGCCTAAGAATCAATCTGGCTTTAATTCTTTTCATTGACCCAAACTCCTTAGAGAAAACAGCTGAGTGTTTCGTTAGCACAGCCCCCAGATTGTCATTTCCACTTTGCTCTCTGGCATGAACGTCTTTCAAGTTCAGTTTAATAATTCCCAACCACTCTGGTGCCAGCGGTTCCCCAGTGTATGTCTTCAGCATGATGTCAGTGGGTTGCAGCAGCAACTGACTCAGCATACTTTTGTACTGTTCTCATGGGAGCAAAGACACACCACCCCCTGTATCCAGCTCCATCTTCATTTTCTTCCCGTTAACTACAGGCATCAGGGAGATAAGTGAATCCCTCTCTTTTCGAGACAATGAATACAGTTCCAACTCACTATCGGTGTCAGATCTGATTCCTTCACTTTCACTTTCCTCACCAGCAACATGATGAATTCTTCTCTTTTTGTCCTTAACTCTGTGTTTAACTGCATTACCTTTCAGTTCAGGTTTTCCGTCTCTCTCTTTCCTGTTCCAATCTTGGCTGCTTCTGGCTCTACCTTTACGCATGCGTTTCGTGTGGCCTTTCCTCCCCAACTGGTGACAGTCACGGTCCTTGTACCAGCAGTCATCATCAGTATGATTCATTTTCCCACAGCGATGGCATCCATCACCTTTTTGCGACAGCACCGTGTTCACTTTAAGAGAGCCACTTAACTGCTGAATTCACGTGTTGCTGTCTCTGCCAACATGGCATAGTCAACTGCTTTGCAGAACGTGAGATCCTTTTCTGTCAAAAGATGCTTCTCCACAGTTTCACACTTTAATCCACAAACAAATCTGTCCCGTAGAGCATCTTCCAGATACACACCAAACTCACAATGTTCTGACAGTCTTTTCAACACCACCACATACTGTGCGACTGTTTCCTGTTCCCCCTGATTCCTCTTGTGGAACCAGAACCTTTGCAAAACTCCCACAATATTGTCATACTGCAGGCTTGTTTGGAGCTACCAGGTTACGCAGCAGACCACACGTTTTGGGACCCATCACACAGCAGCACTGGCACTTGTTTCTCAGACTGAATGTCATTAGCCAGGATGCAATGCTCAAAACGTTCAATATATGTTGCCCACTGCTTACCAGCATCATCAAAGGGATCCATCTGCCCAATCATTCCAGCCATGATGCATCCGCTGTCTACAGCCAACACTGTCATTTCTGACTCGTTGTAGAAAAAGCAGCTCACCGAATCCACAGCTTGGAAGTACTTTCACCATGCTATTGTTTGTTTTCCATCCACACTTGGCCACGTAGTCAGTACATGCACAGTAGACGGCCAAGTCTTCCAGACTTCACAGCACATAACAGGGCGTGGTGCCCACTACTGGTGATAGCTTGTATAGCACACAACATATTTTGGCTTATACATAACAAATTCCCTCTTGCTGTTTTGCTTGCACCAGGAAAAAAAATCACACTTCCTGCATGGCTTTCTCTCACTCTGTACTTGAAGACCAGTTTGCTATTAAAGATCTCTGTTTTCTGCATTACTCTGTTATGCACCAGTCTACCGTCTATTCAGTGCTTTCAGCCAAGAGAGCCTAATTTCTGCTGTTCAATAGCGAAGAAATATAAGCTTTTGCAAAAATAATGACAAAACCGAATAAAACCTCTGTAACTTTGTTCATATGTTGCACATTACCTGATCTACTGGAGAATATTTTTAATGTGCGTATCTGCAATAAAAAGTCAGGATAGGAAAAACTCATTCATATTTTTCTGTTTTATCTTCACTTACTTTGACACAAAGGTATCTGCTGTGATGATTACACCACTGATGTGGTCTCACAAGTGTCAGCTTTGTTTTTATACATAGATGTAAAAATATGGATAGGTACTGATAAATGGTCAGAAATGAAATATTTCTGAATGTTTGAGTCAAAATTGAATTGAATTGGAATCGAATCAGTTATAGAAATCGAAAGTGATAACCAGCCCTAGTGAAAAGCATTCACCATGTTACAAAACAGCTGATAATGTTACAATTTTTCATTCTATGGCTTAACCATTATTAATTGGTGTAGATAGTCATGAGTAATGTGTTTGTCAGCAGGATTTAAAACGGATGACGAGTTTCCTGTTCAGTTGAAAGTATTGTTTTCATCACTTGCAAGACAGTGCTTCCTGGTGCAAAATAATGTGAAAAGTCTAAAGCTTATTCTTAGCAGTTTTCCATTTTGAAAGCCATCCAGTGGACCAGATTTTTGGTGGGCCAGATCTGGCCCGTGAGTCAAATGTTTGACATCTCTCTGATGATGATAGTTGGAATCAATTTGAATTAACTTATTTATATGCTTTTCTGTTCCACAGCTACAGACTGGCAACAAGTCCTCCACTGAGTCAGGAATTCCAGTCGGCAGTTGACTCCATTCCCCCTTATTCCTCTAAAACTGCGCCATTATATCACAATCTGATTGACACTTATGGAACACATTACATCACACAAGTGTCTCTTGGAGGTGAAATTAAAGCAACCACTGCTGTCAAGACCTGCATGGCTACAATGAATGGACTAACAGATACTGATGTTAGTGACTGTTTGTCAGTTGAAGCTTCAGCTACTTTTGCAAATTCTGCCCGTATTAAAGCAGAGTATGAACACTGTCAGAGAAAGAAAAACAAGTTGGGGTCTAATCAAAGTTTCAGCAGTTCATTTAATGAGCGGCGCACAGAAGCCATTGGTGGAGATATTGATGGAGGTGATATCCTCTTTGCAGGCCAATCTGACCCCTCGGCCTATAAAAACTGGCTCATTTCTCTTAAAAGTATCCCTGACGTGGTCCAATACAACTTAAAACCCCTACACACCATACTGCCATTAAATCATCCTGCCAGGGCGGGACTGAAGCGAGAAGTGGAGCAGTACATTAAGAAAAATGCAGTGCTGAAGAAATGTTCAGAAACCTGTAAGATTGGGCACCGATCAAACGCAAGAGATCCTTGTGCTTGTGTCTGCAACAGTAACCAGAACATCAAGTCAAACTGCTGTCCTGCTGGGAAAGGTCTGGCAACCTTAAAGGTGTTCAAACTTTATGCAAAGGGTCTGTATGGTGACAAGTGGACTCAGACAGATGGTTCAGTGGAGGTGACATATGGTGATCAGAAAAAGCGCACTGATATTATAAGTAATGATGACAACCCTAGATGGAGAGAAACATTTGAGTTTGGAACCATCACCATCAACATGAAAAACAAACTTAAATTTTCTGTGTATGATGAGGACACTTACTGGAACAGTGATCTGTTAGGCAAGTGTTCATTTGATCTGCGAGCAGGGAAGGTGAGCGACAGCTGCATGCTGAATCATGGGACCTTCTTCTTTTCCTACATCGTAGAGTGTGCACCAAGTCTTAGTGGGAACCAGTGTCAGGAGTATATCCCCTCGGCCATGAGTCCGTCTTTGGCTGAGGTTTTCCACACCAGAAATGGGGTTCTTCTTGGAAAGATTGGGAATAAGTATGAGGAGTCAGTAAATGTGTGAGTTCAATGCTAAATGTCACTGATGAGAGATGAGTCAATAAGAGAATAAGGATTTGACCATCTACTGAATATCTATGTGCTTGTATTTCATGGCATTCTGTGTTTGACTTTTATGTGCAAAAATATTTTTTGAACTCAAACATGCTTGTGAGAACTCAAAACTGTAATGCACTTAGTTCAAAAATCTAGCAATAAAGCATCAGCAAAGACAACATGTGTGTTACTGTTTATTAGGTTTCTGTAATGCATCAAGAGGTTATCACAAGCTACAGTTGCCCCATGTGCTTGAGGTGTGAGGGGAAATAAAACTAGTGCACATTGTTTCTGTGGGTGTGAGAGCAGTTAAAAATAAAATCTGTGAAAAGAGCACAATGAAGTCTCCACTTCTACATCAGTACTTTAGCATACTTCAGATGACAGAAGCTATTGATCTGAGCTGGCTGTCAACTGTCAGGGTAAGACGACAGAATTATTTCTTGTTTAAAGAAATTTCTTGACTTGAGCATTTGTTGTACGTTTCTGGTTCATTTCTGGTCTCACTGCTGTTCATGTGTGAAAACTACTTTTCTGTATTAGAAAAAACGAAATATTCAAACTTATACATATAAAAAAAGTCATTTATTCTCCTCTCATTGTTAAATGATTCCATTCAGATGGCAAGGCTGTGGCACGTCCTGCTCCTGTGTTGGGCATGGACTCCCTTGTGCCTTCCATCCAGTGTGAGCTTCATTGGTACACCACAGGAGTGTGAAAAGGCTCACTTTGTCCCTGGTTACAACTTGGGTGGTGAAGGCTTTGACATTGTGACGATGGAGAGAAAAGGTGCCTATGTGATCGACACTGAAACATGGAAGATTGGAAATGGTACCTGTAGGATGTACCGTAACGGCTACATGAATGGAGAGAAGCAGAAGGTCCCTGTTGCTGTGGTGGACTGGAGAACCCTGCCCAAGTGCAGTTTGAAGGTCTCCAGTGTGGTCTATGATTCTGTTGAAACTCTTGTTAATGACTCGACATCATCTGTATCCAACAACTGGAAAATTGGCCTTGACATCCCGGTAGATCCTTCAGTAACAGTTGGGGTTGGCTTAGGAGGTTCTCACTCAAGAGATTCCACCTTTGCTATGAAAAAGTCAAAACAAGACCGCTACACCTTCTTACACCATTCGATCAACTGTCATTACTATAGGTGAGTATGTCAGGGGATATTTTTCTTCTTTTTTTAAAATTTACCGAGACTTTTTATTTTATTTTATTTTACAGCAGTGGTGTCAAACAATTCGTAATTATATGCCCAGTGATGGGGAGTAACGGAATACATGTACCGCCGTTACATATTTAAAATACAAAATATGAGTAACTGTATTCCGTTCCAGTTACCGCTTAAAAGGTGGTATTCAGAATACAGTCACTTTGTTGAATTAAATGGAGTACACGGTGGTCTTTTCCTGTTTCATGTGTTAGACTGTTCCCTATTTTTGGTAATTCCACGCTGGTGGAAACCCAAACAAAACACGCATTAAGAGGCTCTATGCTTGTGTGTTGAATCAGCCCCCCCCCCATCATCTTTAAGTGACTGAGACAGGACTCAACACCACATTCTCATATCATCCTGACCCTTCTGGCCTCGCTAAAGCACAAGACACTTTAAAGCCCTTCCCACGCAATGTACACAAGCTGTAAATTTCCACATTGTTTTATTTTATTTTATTTCTATTTATATAATTTACATAACTCACCCATTTGCTGCACATAATGTCATCTTTGTATATACTCATTCACTGTATATAAAGTTCTGTCTGTCCCTCTCTCTTTTTTTCTTTGCACGGTCGAGGAGCGTATCACGTCACATTTCCCTGCGTGTTATACCTGTATAACCATGCACGTGACAAATAAAGAATCTTGAATCTTGAAAAGCTTGTGTCTCAACCCCGCGCCCCATGTCACCCCTACTTGCAGCCCGCATAATGTCGTGAAGACATATTTTTAAAAATCATTATTCAAAAAAGTATTTAATATGAAGGCAGTAGGCAGAGTGTTACAGGCATAGCCCTAAAGAATGTAGCCTTATGGGCAGTGTAGTCCGCGCTGCAGGGAGAATGGACTGCCATTCCCGTTATGTGTCTGTGAGCGCGAGGGAGAGAGGAAAAAGGAGAGTCAAAAAGTACGAGCTGTCACAAACCAGAAACGGGAGATGGAAGCATGTAAATATAATAATAACCACTGCAGCCAAAAAGAGTGCCCGACGAGCGCAGTTGTAAGTAAGCTATTAAGACTCGACTGTACACTGTGTTCGTCTTTTCCTCCGAAACAATAAGTTCCGTTGAAGCAGCCTTTCAACGCCTCTCTCTGTCTCTCGCTAGCAAAGTTGACCCAGACAAGAAAGTAAAGCTAGTTTTCGGTTACGAGCCCGACACAGAACCCAACGTATTAGCCAGAGGTCCCTTTACTACGGTTCGGAGTTGTGGACCTGTTTTATATACGCGCGGAATAGTTTTCTATACGAGCTGCAAAAAGTGCAGCCTTACCTAATGTCCCCCCTACTGTTACTCATTTATATTAAGATTTAAAAATCTAGTTGGTATTGATATGGCGAGTAACCTGCAGTAATAGTAATAAATCACACAGCAATAGTACATTCATGTAGTTGTAAAAAGCATGATAATATATTAAGTAATCCAAAGTATTCAGAATATGTTACTCTCATTGAGTAAGGTAAAGGAATATGTTACAAAATATACTTTGGGGCATGTATTCTGTGGAATACATTTTAAAGGTGACCTTCCCAGTACTGTATATGCCATGTATAACCCAATTGCACTGTATGTGGCGTGGAGCAGCCAAACCATCGCATAAAAAACTATTAAAAACATTGTCAAATGTAAAGAAATGATATACTGAAAATTTTTATATTCATTGTATCATACTTTTACTAATCAGATCATTAAGTCTGAGTTTTTCCTGTTTCTGTCTGTAGCTTAATTATTGTTCCTCAGTATTGCTGGCCATGGTTAATGCATTTTTCAGTAAGACAATGTAAAACTGATGATGTACCTCTAGTTAAGATTGAGTAAAGATGCAATCATTTCATAATGATTTTTTTTTTTTTTTAAAATGCTTCCTGGTGCAAAACACTGGATCAGATTCACCTGTGGGTCATATGTTTGACACACCTGTTTCTCAACAGTTTGCGGCAGTTTCCTTAGTATTGTGATTCTGTTTTGAATTAATAGAAAGAAAATCTAAAGTGATTCAAATAAAATGGTTCAGACATTAATGCATTTATATGCTTTTCTGTTCCACAGCTACAGACTGGCAACAAGTCCTCCTTTGAGTCAAGAATTTAAGTCGGCTTTGGATATTCCCCCTTATTCCTCTAAAACTGCGCCATTATATCACAATCTGATTGACACTTATGGAACACATTACATCACACAAGTGTCTCTTGGAGGTGAAATTAAAGCAACCACTGCTGTCAAGACCTGCATGGCTACAATGAATGGACTAACAGATACTGATGTTAGTGACTGTTTGTCAGTTGAAGCTTCAGCTACTTTTGCAAATTCTGCCCGTATTAAAGCAGAGTATGAACACTGTCAGAGAAAGAAAAAGATGTTAGGGTCTAATCAAAGTTTCAGCAGTTCATTTAATGAGCGGCACACAGAAGCCATTGGTGGAGATATTGATGGAGGTGATATCCTCTTTGCAGGCCAATCTGACCCCTCGGCCTATAAAAACTGGCTCATTTCTCTTAAAAGTATCCCTGACGTGGTCCAATACAACTTAAAACCCCTACACACCATACTGCCATTAAATCATCCTGCCAGGGCGGGACTGAAGCGAGAAGTGGAGCAGTACATTAAGAAAAATGCAGTGCTGAAGAAATGTTCAGAAACCTGTAAGATTGGGCACCGATCAAACGCAAGAGATCCTTGTGCTTGTGTCTGCAACAGTAACCAGAACATCAAGTCAAACTGCTGTCCTGCTGGGAAAGGTCTGGCAACCTTAAAGGTGTTCAAACTTTATGCAAAGGGTCTGTATGGTGATGACTGGAGTCAAACAGATGGTTCAGTGGAGGTGACATTTGGTGATCAGAAAAAGCGCACTGATATTATAAGTAATGATGACAACCCTAGATGGAGAGAAACATTTGAGTTTGGAACCATCACCATCAACATGAAAAACAAACTTAAATTTTCTGTGTATGATGAGGACAGTTACTGGAACAGTGATCTGTTAGGCGAGTGTTCATTTGATCTGCGAGCAGGGAAGGTGAGCGACAGCTGCATGCTGAATCATGGGACCTTCTTCTTTTCCTACATCGTAGAGTGTGCACCAAGTCTTAGTGGGAACCAGTGTCAGGAGTATATCCCCTCGGCCATGAGTCCGTCTTTGGCTGAGGTTTTCCACACCAGAAATGGGGTTCTTCTTGGAAAGATGGGGAATAAGTATGAGGAGTCAGTAAATGTGTCAGTTCAATGCTAAATGTCACTGATGAGAGATGAGTCAATAAGAGAATAAGGATTTGACCATCTGCTGAATATCTATGTGCTTGTACTTCATGGCATTCTGTCTTTGACTTTTATATGCAAAAATATTGCAGCCATGCTTGTGGGCAATGTAAGCCACTCTCTATGCTTCTTTTCCATAGTTGTTCAAAAATCTAGCAATAAAGCATCAGCAAAGACAATGCGTGTGTGTCATTTGAGTAATTAAAAAAATTGCCATGGTCTAAGGTGTTTTTGGCTGCCTGTTTTTGTGTTTTTGGACTTTTGGACCGTCATTTTTTGTTATTGTGTAGTTCCTGGTTTCTTTGTCTTGAGCTTTGCTTCCTAATTTAATCTTTTATATTTCTAGTTCCTAATTAGTTGTTCATTTAGTCTTTTACCTTTTGTGCTCTGTCTTCGTCACTGGCCTCCTGGTTGCCTTCCAGATCCCCATTGCCTGCACCGCCAGCATGAGGTCGTCCTGCAGAGTTCCTTCGTCTGCATGGCTGTCCACACTGTTGGCTCTGTC